TATTACTGTCATTTCACTACAGCTTTAAGAGACAAATTAATATAAAGTAAGCTGACATCGGGAACTCTTCTTCAAAGATGTTCATTTATTTCGTAAGATTGAGTTCACATCGTTCAAATCCTAATTCCCATGTATTTAACATTCATTCTAAAAAGGCTTAATTAAGATTCATCTAAATGTTTTCTAAAAGACAAGGTTTCAGTTACATGAAAAATGAGGTTGCATAGGATTGTATCTTTGATCAGTCATAGTCATTTATTTGGACTTAAAGTTTCCAATACCCATCAGTCTGAGAGTCTCTGTAGAGGGGTATAAAAGTTGTGCTAAACAAGTATGGCCAGTGTTGTTCAACTCAGGATTTTTACTCTGTTTCAGAAAGTATAATTCTAAGGAGTAAAATGAGTATCAAACGTTAGTTTCAACCGGTTAAGGCCCTGGTTTATAAAAATCTGAATTTTGTATCTCATTTAACAGTGAGAATATTTCAAATCATTTAACTTTCCCAGGCATACCAAGGGTGGAAGAATTTCAATAAGAAAATACCTATTATTAAGGGGCAGTGTCTTAGTACATTTTAAGAAAATACTGACGTCTGAACTGAGGTGTAACACATAAACCTACTGATGTTTAAGTATTTAAGTAAGCTTTCTCCAGTTTTAATAAGGCATGCAAAGTGTAAGTTAACCATATGGAAAAGTGTTAATATAACCCATTATAAATGGAAACTTTCTAAAATTCATTTCAAAAAGCAGCTTAGCAGTTGAGTGTTGTATGAACTGGTCTATTTGTAATTAATCTTTTATACTAAAATATATAGTGGGCGTAGATTGATTTTCCAGAACCCTAAATGATCCTGAAGTTCACAATTCTTTTCCACCATTCCAGGTTTTACTGTGAATAGCTAACCAGCCATTGTCAATTAAGACAACCATGCTATTAATTTAGCAATTTAATGGCAGCATGCTGATTTATAACAGGTAACAGTTTATTTCTCAAGTTCCATCACGCAAAATAAAAAATTGCAGTTATTATTCATGAAGTCTAATCCAGGGTTACTACAAATGAATCATTACTCCTGTCAGTCTGTACCCCATTTGAAAATATAAACAAAGGTGTGAATTAGTTATTTACCTATTAAAAATTAGCATAGCTATTTATTTGATTGTGGACTAAAAGGCCAAGTTTGGGTTTGCTATCTACTTAATGTTATTACACGAGTTTTGTGTTATTCTTTTAAAGAAGTGTGAGTAGTTACCTTGGAATAGGCATCTGTGCCCATAAGGGAGTCACAGGTAATAAATCAAAACTGTCTGGAGAAATAGCTCAAAGTATATACTTCCTGAGTGAATGGCCTTTGGTGACTCTGTACATGAATTCATCTGGTTATTACTTATTTATCCTGATAGTCCACAAAAGGTTTAATATTACAAACCAATTTAAGTTGATTCTTCAGAGACAGAAGAGGGTGAAAGCAGTTTTAAAAGCTGAACTTAGCAGCATTTTCATAGTAACTATGCATACTGATTAAACTTGGTGTTTGTTAGCAAGGTTGATTTTCCCCTCCTGCTTTCTCTGATGATAAAGCCTAAGATTGTATGACACAGAGGGCGGTTGAACGCTCAGCCTTAAGTAATATATAATAAAGCTACTTTTATAATACCCTCTTCAGTTGGCTTTCTTGGGTGGAAAAGTTTGATCTTAGTGGTTAGGTAAAAGGATATCATACATGAAGAACATCCAAGTTAGAGGTCTTTATCTAGATACAAACCAGAACCTGCATTCCATGGTTGCACAGGGCAGAGTGAGGTAACGCCCCCGGGTTAAAAACCAAGTCTCCAGCTATCTGGCACATATTAAGCTCCATGAATTCGCTGGGTCCCAGTTCTCTGAAAGAGGAGGTTATACCAAGTGACCAGAGGCCCTGCATCTCAAATTCAGTGACTCCAAACGCTAAGCTGTGCCTCACTGAAAGTCAGTGTAATTTTGCCAGTCCTTCACAAAACTGGCAAGAGCAGTTTACCTTAAATATTAATAACAAGCTAAAGTCAAACCTGATGTCACTGTTTATTAATGTTAACTTGAAAATGACTAATCATAATTCACATTGATATTTGATTTTCAAATATGACTTGCTACAAGCTGTTGTATTTCTCCTGCCTTTCTAAATTTCTCAGCTTTGTAACACTATATACCCCCATCAACATCCACCATCTTCCTCCAGTCTTGAAGTCTGTGGTTTGTCACTATTACCCTCTCCTCTATGCTCTGCTGCCCTGTGTTCTGCCAGGTATCTGCAGTCAGCAGTCAGCTCTACTTTGGCCTCGGTTGTGTCAAAAGTCTAATCCATTAGTGGCTTTTCTTAGTAAGTTATTCCAAAAGATCTGCTTTGCCCACACAATTAAGCAAAATAAGTATAGATCACAAGTGTTCAAATTACAAATCTACTTTGTCCATTAATGACAAGTATTATTATACAAGCAATCTTTTTTTAAAAAAAATTCTTGCACAAAATACCTTTGTATTTAGACTCATTTGAAACTGTTCCTAGTGATGTTTGTGCTGACCGTGAGGGCTCTGGCCCAATGAGTGTCAGAACCGGAGTAAGCATGCCAGTAACATTATTCAGTGCTAACTTGGGAGAATAAATAATGAGCTCTCATACCAGCCACTCTGCACAGCATGTAAAGAAAGAATGACTCCAGGGAGAGGTAAGAGGAGTTCTCTAAGAAGAAAGAAAGACTTCCTATACTTTGTTTTAAAAAATGAAAGTTATATTCCAAAAGAGTAAGAGCCACTGTCACCATTCTTAAAGGAACATCCTGTTTTTTTGTCTTATCTGTTAGCCAAATTTTTGACAAATTGTGAAATATAAACATTTTAAAAGCACTTTCCCAAGATGAGTACATACTAAGCTCCACAGTTATCAATCTTTAATACATATTTTACTTGGTACATTTCACAGTATTCAATCCCTCATGAATAGTTTGCAGTGATCTCTGTTTAGTGTTAACATGAAGTTTGTGATTCCAGTTTGATTCAGAGTATGATTCCTCTATTCATGTTGGTCAAGTAGATTTATCATGTTTCTTTCAGATTTTCAGCATTAACTAAAAAGGAAAAAAAAGCATGTTGAGAAATCATCCCAGGAAAGTCCCATTTGACATTTGTATGTAGGCATTAGTAAGGGAATCCTAATGTGGAATTGTTCTCCTAATCAGCAAGAGGCCTTGCATCATCAACCAGGTGTAAGAAACATCTAATAAACCCCATAATTTAGCAGTGAAAAGATGTCTCCTGTCCTATAAATCAGACAATAGAAAGCATATTCATAAATACACTTAACACTTTCAGAACCCTAACACTGTCAGAACCCTCGTGTGCTGTGTGGACAATGGTCAGTGCAGTGTCACAGGAAGCATCCTGCCTCTGAACAGCCATCTGGCTTCAGTCAGCTGCTGTTACTCCAAAGTTCTTTTACAGAGGTCTGTATGTGGCTTCCGTAAGTCCTACTTGATTCTTTTTTTAATGTCTACTATTTTGACATACAAAGGAAGGATGTAAAAGACATCACAGTAAAAATTTGAGTTCTCACAGCTATTGCACATTAAATGTCTTAAATCATCTCTCATAAAGCTGTGTAGCTAATACCCTTTCTGATTTTCCTAGAGCCTTAAACAAGTTCTTAAATGGATGACATTCTTCAAGTTGAAACTTTTAAGGAAGCTGGCAAAGCATTTATCCTCTTTGCCTATCTCCTCACTTTGTTTAAAACCTTTGTACAAGGGCAAATCCTTAGGATTTTTCATCCCCTACACCTGGTGCCCTAAGTACTTAACCAAGCCAAGCATTAGCAGAATCGCTGAAAAGCACATAAGGCTGATGGCATAAGGCTGACGGCAGCACAAGTTGCTGGCCTCCCCTCTTGGCCTAGGGGTTAAGCTCAGCGCTATGAACCTATGCCACCCACCACAGCCTGAGTTCGAGCCCCTGCCTGGGAGCTAACCCACACACTGCGCAGCAGGCCGCTCGTGTCTTCGCCTGCC